GACACATCCTTATTGCATGGTGGATTTCCATGCACATCACTTCACTCTCTCTCTCTCTCTCTCTCTCTCTCTCTTCTCGCTTCTTCTTCTCGGCCAAACCTTACTCTCACCACCTCATTTTCTTTCAAAAATCTTTCAAGGAAACTCTCTCTAGAAAACCTCCTTTCTTCTCCAAATTTTCGAAGATCTAGAGTTGTTTCAAGGAGATTTCCACCAAAAATCATCTTTCCTTGGTAATTCCCTACATATCCAAGTTATATCACTTCATTCTTATGTTAAGATCACTCCTTCTAAACATTTTTGTGATCATACTCTTAGAAAAACCCCATAAGATCGAGATCTATTCAAGGAAGGCTTGCTAGAGCCGAAACCTCTTCCATTTCTTCTTCAAACCGAGATCAAACAAGAAAGGTGAGTTCATACCCCCTTGTTTTCGGTTTTTACATGTTTTTAGGGGAGAATACAAGTGTTCATGTGTAGATCTATGTATTATTGCATGTTGTGTGTGATTTTTTTGATTTATGTTGTGATTTTGTGATAAATCTTGATGAATCTCGAATACTCCAAAAAAAATGGGTGAGATTCATAAACTAAAACACTCTAAACATCATACTACAAGGATAAAAGTGATATACATGCTTTAGATGTGAAAAGCAAAACAAAAATCTTGTATAAGGACCATTTTTAACAAGTAAACAAAAGATTGGGATAATTTTTACCACTCACGATTTTTGTAAGGATCAAAAGGGTCACATTTGTATAAAAATGAGTTTTTATAACAACAATACTTTTCAAAGGACCAAAAGTGTAATATTTTGCATTATGGGCCTCAGCTTGGGCCTCACAGCTTTTTGGGCCCAAATTGCAAAAATATCAATTTTTGGGGATTAAAATGTTATTTAATCAAAACTTGAGCCAAAAATGAGAATAAAAAAAATAAGGGCTGAAAATGACGCTTATTTCAAAATTGGGCCAAAAATGTTAATTTTATAAAATTTGGGCCGAAAATGTCATTACATGTATTTTTGGGCCAAACCCGTCAATTACTAAACATTCGGGGCGAAAATATAAATTTTTATAAATTTATGGACAAAAATGTTATTCTAATTTAAAATAGACCAAAATGACATTTTATGTAAAAATAAGCCTTTAAATGTTCAAAATAGTTCTTAAGGGACCTAAAGTGTAATTTTTAATAAATACAGGTTCAAATTATAGAATTTTGACGTATCAAACTAAAAATATCATTATAACAAAACACTGGACTTTTTATAACACTATGGATAAATGTTTCGACTAAATGAACTATACTATAGCAAATAAACGAAATACAACAATGGTGCGATTATTAGGCCTAGTATTTGCTATACATGCTTATTGGGCCTTTGTGATCCATTTACATGTTTATTGGGCCCAATATATTCATCACATGTCTATTGGGCCTCAGTGACCCAATTACATGCTTAATGGACCTAAATTAGCCTTTACATGTTATTGGGCCTTAGTGGCCCATTTACATGCTAATTTAGTCTGGAATAATTCATCATGTGCTTAATGGGCTTTAATGTGTCCATGTCATACTTAACAAGCCTGGAAATAACTTACATGTCTAATGGGCCATAGTTGTCTTTTCATCATGTTTGTTGGGCCTTATCCATTCATATTCATGTATCATCTAGTGTTCGAAATTCTAAATACATATAACGTATACATATTCATGAGGCAATAATTGGAATCTAGTGAGACTTGTCGGTTGACTCCATTGAGTGTATGGTCGTAGCCTGTAGTTATAATCAGAGTCTCCTGGAGGGAGAGCGAGAGTTTGTGTATAGATCTATGCGGGGGTGACTCCCCCACACCTGAGTTGTTCGCTACACCTAGACTAGGCCAGTCTAGGGTGACAAAACCTTGATCGAAAATCCGGCGTTTGGAAAAATGCCAAGAAAGGCAAATCAGTCTCTATCATGCATGGTTATAACGACTCATATAGAGATCGATTCCCATCACGACATTACGGAAATTAAAAACTCGTAAGTCATATTGATACAAAACAGATCATACGACAGTGCAAAGACCGCAACATTTTTATAAATCATAAAATATCGGATTTTCTGGGGAAATACTATTATTCAAATACCACCTACTTACAACAGAAAGAATACAAAGAAATTTGAACTGCATGCCTACATGTTACTACTATAAATTCACACATGCATTTATACTCGATTTTCACATCCTTTTTCAGACTTTTTACAGAAAATATCGGATTTTCTGGGTTTTACAAACAATACAAATACTTTCATTCAAACACGCTTATGAACTCACCAACATTATATATGTTGACCGTTTTCAAAATAACTTGTATTCTCTGGTAACCGTTAAGCATAAGAACCTTCAAGTGTGTGTGGATTTATTTTGTGTAATGTCGCTCATCGTACTATTAGCATTTTGGAATTATGTAACCTAAGACAATGTACTTGATGTGAACAATACCAGTTGTAATATGTAATGTTTGGTGATGATTGTGTTATGTTTCACATATATTCATTATGATGATATTTCAATTGATAGTCACATGAGCCCTCGGACGTTTCCGCCGTCTGGTTCGGGGGTGTGACACATGATACATCCCAACATCTCGCCTGAACCCAGGTGGTTGCGAAAGAGACTCAACCGAATTATTCTCCTCACCCAACCGTTGCACAACCTCCACCGTAGGACCTCTCTCTGTATCAATCGGATCAACAATAGCATCTATCGGATCAGCCACAGGAACCTCAGCGCCTAACGGAACAACATTACCATCAGCCGGTCCAGTCACAGGAACCTCGACTGGCACCGGTTTAAGCCCCCACATATTAGCATCAGATTTTAATGAATCTGTTTGAAAGAATCGACCTTTCCGGTCTACAAAACCTGCCCCCTGTTACTAACATACTCTTGTTCCATGCCAAATTTATTATCATTCTCCATATCAATAGACTTAACTTTACCCCTAGGTGTCATTTATCTTTCCTCTTCAGCAACACCATCATCAAAATCATTACCACCCTTTTCCAAATCATCCGAGAGAGACGACATATCACAATCTAAAGCTTATTCACTACATAAAATATTCAGTTCCCAATTTGAAAATTCTCTAATTACTACCTCATACGTAATTCCTTGGACCACCAAAGACAGTTTATCATGAATTAAAGAAGGTTTCATTGTTTTGATACAAACTCTTTTAATCGCCAATGGAGCTTGATTATCATCATCCAAGAAACACACTTCACCCCACAATCCTGCCACCTTATTCACTGCACCATCATTTCATGCACAACAAGGTAAACCAAGAATTTCAATCCAAACAACCCTCTTTAAAACCTTAAACCCATTAACCACAGGCCTAAAGTTAGAGAAATAAGCGCCAACAGAAGAAGACTTCTTAAACTTCGTACACACCAAATCTGATTCGAAGTCCACATAAACCCAATCACCACCCAAATATTTTATCTGTATGTCATGAAAACCTTCCTCTTTCAGCAAAAGTAATAACTTTGGAATCGACCTTACACTTCTAACTTGACAAAAAACTGATGGTTTCAAAGCCAGATCATTAACAATATCCTTACCCTCAAGATTAAGCAAAATCCCAGCCTTATTCGGCTTAACAGTATCACCCTTCACAACATTGGCATAAGTCAGTTTCTGAGATATTTTACTGCCCCCACTAACAGTATTGACATGCACCTGTGTTTCCCCATGCATACGTTTGTTCTCCCTTCCAAACTTGGCCAAAGAAACGAAAACATGATAGCTACCGATCCACAGATCACACAGCTTCAATTCGAGATGCTTCTCATCATGAACTTTGAGAAATCTAACAAATGCAAACCGTTTCCCAGACTTGGACAACTTCCGAGCAATATAAACATCTGAAACCCTACCATACTTTTCACAAATAGACCAAAGCTGCTTATTATCCAA